GGTCGTGTAGTTGTGCCACGAGAAAGTATTAGCCTGCAACAGCACATCGGCAATGCTCATTCTCACGCATAGCCTATGCAATACATAAGTGTGTTGGTTACGCGCGCGTAAGTAGTGTCTCTGCATGAGTTGCGCACGGGTGTACGATGTGTGTGTGCAAGAGAGAGAAAGAGAGAGAGATAGTAGTAGCAGTAGTAGAGTGGGATAGCGCGAGAAGGATTGGGCGAACGTGCAGCGTGAGGGAACGAGTGTCAGTTGAAAGATAGATACAGAGAGAGAGAGAGAGAGAGAGAGAGAGGAATAACCTCCACGCGCTGAAACTAAAAAGGAGGTAGGTAGGCTCGTAAGACGTGCTTCGTGTGTCTGCGTGTGCGTGCGCGCGCGCGCGCGCGTGTTTGTCGCGAGTCTGTGCAATGTCTCCTCTCTCGCTAAGGATGCGCGGCACGTTGGTTATGTAGTTCCGTTGAAGGAACGGCCTTTTGCACCGGTAAAGAAAAAGGCGACAGGAAAGGACGAGGCCGGCGTCGTCCAGTGTGCAAAGCTACATCCGCGCCTTTCATTCTTTGCCGTTGCGGGGGAACGTGGAGAAATATACAGTTATTGGAAAAAATGCCGGGCGGAGGCTTGTCGCCGCCTAGTCGTAGTAGTCGATCCTGAGAGAGAGAAAAAGAGCAGCTGTCTGTCTGTCTGTCTTTCTCTTTCTCTCTCTCTCTCACGCATACACACATACCACTCTCCTTCTCACTCATTCATTCTCTGTCGCCTCCGTATACATATCTCGTCGACCGGAGGAGAGCAAAATACGTTTACTATAAACTCCGAAACGAGATCGGAGATCTCGCGTTAGCTACTCCGAAAATTTTCAAGCTTAATTGCTTGTTGGTGTATACATTTACTCCCTTTTTACTGGATCACGAAGGACACGCGAACATTATTCAGGATGTCACAGGAGGACGACGTTGGATTTCTGTACAAAACCATGAGTAAGTGTATTCTGCTCCTACATTTTTCCTGACAAATTTTCTCACCTACAATTCTTTAAAAAATATCAATTAAATTCAAGTTTCAAATCATTTATTTTCTTTGTTTTTTATAAAGAGTGTTTTAAATAATGGTTTTCACAGCAATTGAGCAAATCACTTATATCATTTCTTTCGATCAATGACATGTATTATACAGATATGTAGTTTTTATAATTTGAAATTGCATATTGATAAATTTACAATATTCTTTTACTTCTTACCCTTCATACATTGTATTCAATAAATAATATTCTTATGTTCTTATTTAAGGCTTTATAAACTGACTTATATTATGAGTAATACATGTATTTTGTATTGTAGCTTGTTGATGAAACAAAATTTAAATATAAGAATAACAGTATTGAAATTTTAAAAGTATTTTATATATATTCTGTTTAGTATTTTTATACATTAGATTAATTTAGTATCTAAATACTTTGAATTATAGTTTCATAAAGTTTTAATAATTTAAAAATATATATTAAAATTATAACATATATAATTAAATTTTATCCTGTATATTAAATGAAATTTTTTTTATTTGAAAAAATAAAACTTTTTACTATCTTTAATTTGATATGTGAATTGTATTGATTGATATGAATGTATTTATCAGAGTACTTTTAATTTTATAATATTATTACATTCTTAAATGTTAAATTTTAGTTTTATAATAAGGTAACAATTTTATAAAAATTACTATTATTAATTTGAAACATTGACAAAATTGTATTTTGATTTAAATGTTTGGTATTTAAATTGCTGATTTGTAAGCTGATTTAAACAAATACTCGAGGATAATTTAAATTGAATGAGGTTAGTTTAAAAGTTTTTTCTTATATATAAATTAATAATTGAAAATTTATACTTATTACATTGAATTATAATTCATTAATGAAACTAAATTTATTATAAATTTGTTTTTTGTCTGTTAAAATTGTAGTTAAGTTCAGAAAAAATAATAATTATGAAAGGAATTAAAATACTTTATGCTGTTTAAATAATTAAAATAATATATAAAAATTAAATAAATTTAAAAATACTTAAATCAGTTAAAATTGTATCGAATCTTATTTTTTAATTGTGAAAGTTTTTAATACAAATTTACTTACCTACAATTAACTTCAATATTTTGTTTATATTATAATATAGTTGTTACAGTATAAATTATAATCGGTAATTTATTTACATTTATTATTAATGGAGATAAATTAATTTTTGTTGTTATAGTTGAAAGGGATCCAAAGAAGCGAAGAGTCAAACCAGTGGAGTCAGCACAAACGTCACTGTTAGATTTTGATCTAGGAGAAAGTTCGGATGATAGTGATTTTCGGATAGAAGATCACTGTGAGGAATCTGATGATGATTCTGTGGATTCTAATGATATGGGAAAAGGTCAATAGTTATTTTTATTATTGAGTTGATCAATTGGAATTGGAATGAAATAGATACACAATATGCAATACTTTTCATTATCATTAATACTTGTTCATAATTCATACCTTTTAATATAATTAAAAAAACTAAACGCTTCACTAAACATCCAATGATAATAAATTAATCACATTCTCTAAGTTTAAAAATTTCATTTTGATTTTTTCTTTACAATTAATGTTTTTATTTGTATGATGAAACAACTGTTTTCAATATTTAAAAATTATAACAATTTATTTTCAATGATATTTTTATAATCACATTATTATTAATCAATGAATATAATTCATTTTGTAGATGATGATGAGGATGGTGGGAGTGAATCAGATGATTCTGTCGATGATCCATTACTTAGTAAGAAAAATGGAACCACTGCAACTGTAGAAGATTTACTAGAGAAAGCTCGAAATCAAGCTGAAAAGGGAGGGCCTATCGAAGATAAATTATCTAAAATGCTAATATGTTGTGGTTGCTTAGGAGATAGGAGCGACGATATTAATGAAATTGTTGAATGTGATGGTTGCGGGGTTACTGTTCATGAAGGTAAGAAAAAAAATTATTTTATCTATTTATCGAGATACCTATTCCAATACTGTATTAAATGAATTTCTTAGGTTGTTATGGGGTATCCGATGTAGAAAGTTTTTCTAGTACAGATTCGCTATCACAATCAGCACCTTGGTTTTGCGAAGCTTGCAGTGCAGGAGTCGAAGATCCTTGCTGTGAACTCTGTCCGAATAAAGGTGGTATTTTTAAGGAAACGGATGTAGGAAAATGGGTTCACTTAGTATGCGCTCTTTACGTACCTGGTGTAGCATTTGGAGAAGTAAGAGATCAACTATTTATCAAATTCATACTAATTTATGTCGATTAAATTATTAAAGTTAAATTTTTAGAACATTATAGGATTATAATAAAACATTATTATGAATCTTTGACATTTTAATACTTTATAGTTATTAACAACTTATATAAATTTGCAATAAATTAATTGACCTGGAAAAAGTTATTGATTCATCATTATTAATGTTTTTTTTTAATATTGTTTTTTTACTTTTTTTATAAAATAACTAAGCGTACATGTATCATTACAATTTTTATTTTAAAAGTTGCTGATTATAATCTAAAAAAATTCTTCTATTTTCATTAAAATATTATTTGAAACAAGTTCAAGTAGATTTCTATATTCCATTAAAATTGAATAACATTTTTTCATTAGGTTGACCGACTGACTAGCGTGACACTTTTCGAAATGGCATACAGTAAATGGGGGGCAAAAGCTTGTTCCTTGTGCGAAAATGTAAGATATATTCGAACTGGAGTTTGTATAGAATGTGATGCTGGCATGTGTCACACATATTTTCACGTTACATGGTAGGTTTATATTATTATTTAATCGCTACTTTTGAATTTATTAGCCTTCGTAGTATTAAGGATTTGATTTTTTGTAATCTTACTTTGTAAGTATTCATTTTTATAAATTCATATCATGTGAAATCATATCGATACAATAATTACGTACGTAATTGTCGTTAGATGTTTATATGTAATAAAAAAATCCAAGCGTCACTGTAAATATTATTCGAAATAATTTTAAATAAATGTCAATAATAATGTCAAAGAAAAGGTGAAGTGGGCATTATATTATATGGAATGTCTCTAAGAATTTCTCTAACAAATAATATATTTACTTTGACATAATTTGAGATGTTTTATTTCAATAAAACTAGTAGAATATTCAGGCTCGTGCGCACATAAACAAACACAAAAAACAACACACATACCCAAAATGGCATTTAAATTTTAGCGCACAAAGAGAAGGCTTACTTTCGGAAGCGCATAGTGAAGAAGTCGACCAAGCTGATCCATTTTACGCTCATTGTAAATTGCATTCCGATAAAACGCTTGTTCGAAAGCGTAAGCGCAATTGGTTGGCCTTGCAGTTGCGGGCGACATTTCGACTGCAAATGCTGAAGAAGCCAGAATATAGGGAAACGGAGGAGTTTCTTAGGATTCAGCGTAAATTATCGAAGCATCGGCACAAGTACTTGGCACACAAATCGTCGAAACCACCACCTTGGGGTAAATTTTACCTTAATTACACCATGTAATGAAACCATCGGTTAATTTAATTAATTCTTTATTAATTATGAAAAGCTATCAAAAGATAGAGCGTTTATAAATTATGAAAAACTAGATATAAATAACTGCTAATGCTTGATACTCAATGTTTCATTAAAATCTAAAATATGACGATTTTTTTCTTACAGTTCCCACGCAGAAGATGCCTAGACTACTGACAACTTCGGCATCGGCTTGTCGGAGTTTGCAGCAGAAGGCCGAACTAATGGGAGTGGACACGATAGCTCTCGAAACGCAAGAGGAGCAAATGGCCTCGCTCGTGGACATACGCAAGAAGTGGCATATACCGCCTGCCTTTAGCGTCGAGTTTATTAGTTATTATTTGGACCGGCATGCGCGCACTGCCTCGATGAAGGCGCGACTCGATGAACTATTGGAGGCGAACTCGAGGCTGCTGGGCGAGCAGCAGGATCTGGACAAGAAATACGATGAAGCGATGAGGTTGAACGAGGAGCAGGTGCAAATCTACGATCAGCACAAAGAGCGAATCGAAATGTATCATCGAGTACTGAGGGCAGCGAATTACATGAAACCCCTTCCGTCTGTTGGGGACATTGCCCGGCCGAAGATAGCGTTGAATCACGGTGAGTCGTCTTTTATTTATTTATTTAGTTTTTAACTTTCTTCATTTCTTAACGCTTTGAAATCGATGTCATATCATCAACGCGCTTACAATTATTTGCCATTTTTAATATCACTACCAATTAGGTTTTTCTTTTTATCTACTTTATAGCTCGACTTTACTCTCTAGTAATGTATTTATACTGATTTTTGAAGAATGTTTTACATTACATTCGACAATGTTTGATTAATATGCATTATCGATGCTTATTCCAATGATTAAGTAAATAGTGTTTCACGCGATATGCCTATTTTGATTGAACGTAATCATATTTGAAAAGGTAAAATTGTGTTTTAAGTTTCTAAAACAATTTTTAGAAATAATTTTTCAACGAAGAAAAAAATAATAAGGAATGAAATTGAAAAACAATATTGCAGCCTACTAAACAATACTATAAACATACCTACGCGCGCGCACACGCCACCTGCTCACGCATACATTATAGAATGAATTTTAAAGTTTTAAAGTTTTAAAGTTTATTTTAAAGGTATTAATGATATAATAAACTATTGACACTAAAAAAAAAGACGCTATCAGAATTTAAATGTGATATATGTATCTCTCGTTAACATTAACAAATGTGTTGTTTTGTCAGCTTTTTAATCAATCAATATCCAGATTAACTACACGGTTTTTGCTATTAAAGAAAACAAACATTAAACGTTTTTGAAATTCTTTAATAATTAATTTTAGAGCATTAAAAAATATCACCAAACCTCTTTAGATCTGTGCTTTTTCATTCATAATAAACAATGTTGAATGTTGAAATTGTTAGGTACTCCAATTGTCTCAGTCGCAGCTTTAAAAATAGGTGTCAGCTTACCACCGGCTTTCAACAAAGTCGAGAATTCGAATGTCGAGGACCATATCCTAAGTAATCAAATGGTCAATCAGAATCACAAACTCGACTTGCAGGTGAGGCATCAGTGTGGTATTTGCAGAAGATCGACGAATCAGCACTTATTGGCCAAATGTGACACCTGCCATCTGCATTATCACTTATCTTGCTTAACACCTCCATTAACTCGAATGCCGAAGAAAACCAAACTTATGGGGTGGTAAGTCTTTTTACGAAGAAGATACGATAGCTGCGCAAAAGCTTGAATTATAAGTGTTATAATTCCAACAATAAATGCAAACATTGATTGTTTAAAGTAATTTTTATATCCAATAAGATACGCCGAATTGAAAATTTTGACCATCATTGCGTTAGATAACATTTGAAAGCAAACAATTTAGAAAGCATGATATTTTCATTTTACATATATTTTCAATGGTTGTTAGGCAATGCTCAGAGTGCGACAAGGAAACGTCGGGATCGGACATCGAGCGAGTGGATACATCGGCTCCTCGTAGGTTGAGGCATTGTAAAGAGGAGTCAAATTTCGCTCTGTCGGTCGAAGAGGTTCAGGTCCATAAACCGCCAGCAAATTTGAACAAGAGTTTGCCTGCAATGAAAGGGAGTCCAGCTGTAAATAACACTAATGAGAATTCGATGGAAACTAATGCTGTACTTCATACTCCCAAGGTAAGATTTTTATTTAGTTCAAAATGTCGATAAAAATTCAGAAAATAGCTTTCTTTATATTCGCGTGAATACACAATAGCAGTAATGAAAGTCAATTTATTTAATTGAACTTAATTTGTATAATCTTTTATATAGTGGAGATATAATTGTGAGCTGTATTGATTAAAACATTAAATGTCGTGTGACAATATTCATTAAAAGAATTAAATAAAAATATATTAGTTTATTTTCAAAAATTGATGCTTTTAATACTAATATTTGTATTGTAGTTTACAAATTACTCTTTAAAGTAAATCTATTCAAACTACTATTATTTGTCAACTTTACTTTTAAAAATTTTATTTTGATCATAGGTATTTACATTAAATCCTGATGGCCATTAAAAATAGTGAGACTGTTGAATTAAAAAAAGGAAACAAAAATTATTTTTTCGTACAATCTATTCGTAATGTATGCTATGTGTTAAAATATCAGAATGTAAATTGTAATTAATTTGTTTTTAGTTAACCATTAAGCCAATGGGACCACAGCCAAAGGAATCTGAGGCGATGCAAGTGGATAAAGTTAATTTTAATCATCATACAGTGATTAATTCAATTGTACCATTGAGAGAAGGAACCCCTGAATATAGAATGGCTCCTTTCGATGGTGCCGTTGAGCATTCATCCGGTCGAAGTGGAAAGAAACGTAGAAGGTATTACTTTAATATTGCTTTGAATGAAAATATTTTTCACATTTTTATCGAGTGATACTAATTTATAGTTAATAATAATATATTTCTTATTTATTTTTATATCGTTTATTTTCCGTCAATTTATTAGGAAATTATTTTATTATTATGATCCAATATTAATTTAAATATTAATTTAAAAAGTTTTTTTAAATGAAATTATTAAATTAATAACACTTATTAATATATTCGATAAAAATCTATTCTTTGTTTTTTTTAACTACAGAGAAAAGCACAAACGATATACCCCAGATCCAATAACAGGTGGAAAACAAAGAAAAAGAAAACACAAACGAAAGAGTCTGGATGTGGAGAATCCAGAAAATCATGCGCAACCCGAAGTTCATCGACGTATTACTATAAAAGTAAGAAGTAACCAATAATTCAAAATGTATTTTAAATAAAAGTATAATGCCTATTATTTATCTCTTTTTTTTAAATCTAAATAATAAAATACTAAACATATGTGTATTATACATTAATATAAGTATATTATAGCCAATTATTATTGTAAAATCTAGATAAAGCCAATACCATTACCAGAGGGCGAAGTGGCTTCGGAAACGAATCCGCAACTATTCGTAGCCTCGTCAACGAGCACCGAAATGAGTCCACCGAAGTTGTCAGACCACCAACAGTTAAAGCTTCATCCGTTAGCGCAGCCTCAATCGACGCTTTTGATGCCTTTACCTACCGAAGTAACCCAAACGCCGTCGCAACAGGCAATAGGAACTGAATTGATACTACCAACGTTCCACACACCACCGACGGGTAGAACAAATACAAGTAGATTATCATCCGGAAGCAGGAAGAATAAGGATGCAGATCTCTTATCACCGTGTACTGTATGCAACTCACAGGGCACTAACCAAAATCTTGTCATGTGAGTGCTTGGTTATATATTTGAATATGCGCAGTATATTAAATATTCAATGGCAACAGGACATTTTATTATTAATAACATTATAAATGAATGTTCAAATTATATTTTTATGAATTATTGTCTATATTAATAATTAATTTATACTCAAAAATTTTGACAAAATCTTGAGTACATGAATAAGCATGTAACATCAGCCTTGTAATCACGAACGTTATTAATTTATATTTGTTTATTGCCTATATTTATTCTCAATTTTCCAATATCATTTTCAACGGTTTATAATAAGATATATTGTTAACAATCAATTTATATTTGCAGCTTTGAAACATTTTTTCTTTTAATTAACACATTTACTTTAGCAATATAAGCATCGTTAGGTAGAAAATAATTTTTATTTAAAAAAAGAAATTTAACGGAGAAATATTACGAAGAACCGATGGTTAAGTTCCATTAAAGTATTTTTTTAATACTACAAATTCAAAATTTATCTAATTAAAAATATTTTTGTTAAATATTTTATTGATAATAGTACATTTTTTTGTATACTTAATCAAATATAAACAATAGCATAAATAATATTTCGATATAACGTTTTGAATAACGGTGTTTGAAGGTAATATTTTTCAAGTCGAAATTAAGAATAAAAACAGTCAAAATATATCTGCTTATATTAATACTGTGTCATATATCTCAGATTATTTCATCATAAACGCTTATCATTCTAGGTGCGATGAATGTAAAAAGTGTTATCATTTTACTTGCCTTGATCCACCAGTAAAGAAATCTCCAAAGAGACGTGGTTATTCTTGGCATTGTGCTGACTGTGATCCCAGTGTAAGTAATCAAATATGCATTTAATAAACGTCTAATTTCTTTAATTATCCTGTTATTGCCAACGTATACTTCATATTTAATAGAATACTTTCCAAAGTTTATTAGAGTATATAATTTGTAGATTATAAGTGATAAATTAGAATAAGAAACGTACTTTGAAAATAACCTCCTAGTAATCTAAAATTACTGATACAGTATACTTTAGTTACACAATATAATTTTTTCTATTTATTCGAAGTAAATAAATAAGTTGATTGCTATAATTTAAAAATAAAATTCTAAAATTGTTATTAAATTATAAGCAAAAAAATTATAAGTCACAATTAATTGGCGTTTTTCCTATTATGTAGTATAATTTAATATTTATTATTTTTATTCATTTTAGGCATCGGAAACAGAAAACTAGTACCAGTTTAACTGAAGTAATTTGAGGACACAAATCAAATTGTATAATTTTGTATATTGATCGGAGGAAAAAAAAGAATCGACTATGCGTAAAGTATGTTAAATACACGAATCATGTGAGCAAATAAAGAAAGTTGCTAACAATTTAAAATTTTTTTCTCCTAAGGTCGATTGATTACGACGTTGTAATTATGCAAATTTTCGTCGCTAGTGACAAATCAAAATGCACATATTGAATTATGTATAATTCTTTTTAGTAATGTATTGAATTTTTGTAATTGCTTGATAATGTCACTCTTGGGAGAATAATAATATAAAATCGAGGAACCAATCATGTTGAAGTTAATAAGCGCATACGATTTCTTTGTTTCTTCATAGTATTGTATTCAACGATAGATATTTAAAATAAATTGTAGCCTTGCAAGGCGACTGTCACAAAATCTATAAACTCCCTCGGTAATCATTCCTATAGATCCCTTGAACTAGATTTGTTACGTGGACCTTCATTTTCATTTCACCATTTATTAAAGAGAGTCTATAGTTAATACTTTTATTTTAGTGTATTCGAAATTTATATTAGGGATGATAATTAAATTTTTATTATATTTTTAAAAATTTTAATTTAATTTTCAGAACCATTATTATATGTGAAAATCTGTATCATTATACTTAAGTTTTACTTATAAATATTTATTAAATAAATATCAATAATTATACGCTATATAACTTATTTAAGTAAAAAAATTTCATTTTTATTTTTTTTAAATATCTAAATAGGTATTCTATTATTTTAAACAAAGTAAAAAGTTTAAAAATTCAATTATAATTTTTAATCAAATAAAAACGCTTACACTAATAATATTTTTCAAGTAATGATTTGATCATAAGGATAAATACTTTATATATGTTTTGTGTATTTGTCGTATTTAAGTATAAACTCTCTTTATATATTCTTTGACTGCAGAATGAGCAAAACCGAGAAATATTAGAAGAGAAATTTATATATTTAGTTTCTTGTGACTTAATTGCAAGGTATTTTTAATTAGGATTTAATTTATCGTGTTTTGGTAAATTGTGTAGTACTACTAAATTAAAAGAATAATTATTTTCTTGTGCAAACTCAATGGCAACAAATGAATTGATTCAGTCAAAATTGTGAAATAAATTTTATACATTATTTCTTAAAAATAAATTGTATTTTATGCAAATAAAATTATTCATTTGAAAAAAAAAATGTATTTTTAATTATTATCCTAATTGATATTTGTACAAGAATAATGCTTTTATTTTCAATAAAATAATTTATATTTACTTTTGTCATTTAAAATATAACTGGAAGAAAATTGTATAGCTGATTTGGGTTTCAGATTAGGAAATATCACTGCATCTACGGTGATCCAACTATTGTCTTTACAGGAAACACAAAGAGTCTTATTGTTTTTATTAAACATTATGATTCCTAGAAAATTAAAATTTAAAAGATATAAATTCTGTGCACTTTTTTATGCATTTATAATATGAAAAAGTTATAATTCTTCACCTGGCACTTTTTCTTTTATGTATTTTGTATAATTTATAGATATGCTCTCAGGAACTGTTTTAACATTTAAAAGTTTGACAACTGTATTATTAAAATAAGTTCTTAGTGGTTCAATTCCATTAAGCCCTCGTTGCAAATCATATACATTTTTAGCAGTCATTGTATTCCATTTTATAAATGATATATCTTTGGTTACTTTCGGTGCTAAGTAAAATAAATGATTTATTAATTATTAATGCATAAATTAATTAAAATCTTTTTACCATACGTTACTCCTTCTTCTGTTTGAGATTTTGCTGTAGTTAATATATCAGGTAATTGAGTAATTGTTTTAATTAATAGATCTGCACCTATACGAGCTAATTTTTTCTCCAATTCAATACGAGTTTCCTCTGGATGAATTTCAATTTTCTCTTGAATAATTATTGCGCCAACATCGAATCTTAATAAATACGAAATCCTTTACCAATTAGTTTATCAAAATTTATAAAATATTATCAATAATTACTTCTTTGGTAATATTTTTAAAATAGAAATCCCAGTTTCTGTGTCTCCATTTATTAAAGCATATGTTACTGGAGCAGCACCTCGCCATTTGGGTAATATGCTTCCATGTACATTGATTATGCCTCTACAATGTTAAACAAATAGATATATTTAAATTTTGCTTTGTTGTAGCAAAATTAAAAATTATTTTTTGTTTATTACTGATGAATGCTGTATTATTAGATTGTTAATTGCGATGAAATAGATAATTTTAATACTATTATTAATAGTTCTATTGACAACTGTAATTTTACAATTTTATATTAAATAAAATTAATTTAATTCATTGACAGATCTATAATCCTCGCTTAAAAGATGGGTATATACAGATATTACAAATATTCATAGATAAGTTCATCGAGCAACACAATTAAAAATTTTGTTGTTTAAAATTTAGCACATAATTTTATTAGATTTTTTCTAATTTTGATTTTATCTAATTAATCTAATTTTTCTAATTCTAATATAGATTAACTAAAAAAAATTATTTTGTAATATACTTTATTATAACAACATAATAATTATTAAATCAAATATCATTAAATACCAAGAAATTGATAAATCTTACAATGGAAATAATTTGATGATTCTTGATGGAATTAAATAACCAAATGAAGCAACAACACCAATATCAAAAACTTTTTCTTTTATATCCGATGGCCATGAATGTAACTTAATATTGTATTTTTTAGCATATTTTGCTACAGGAGTTTCTTTGTTTGAGCTAACAACTTCCAAACATTGAAGTAACCCTCTTTCTCTACTATATAATAAGGAAAATTAATAGATATTTATTGCCATTATATCATGTTAAAGAAAGTAAAACTTATTTATGTACAAATATTAGTATCGCTATTACTACTATTAACTATCTCATGTTTTAAACAAAAGTAGATGCAAATATAATGAAACAAAAATATTCACTTTAAAAATGCTCTTTTGAACATTTGGAGAAGCAATAAGTATTCAAATTTAATATTATTTATTTATTATTATTTACTCACTAGGCAATATTCAATGCATTGATATTTTCTAATGAAAATGCATCATTACCAAAAAATAAAACCTTCCATGGTCCATTGTTGGAAGTCGAGTATTTCAAATGTTTTCTTTTAGGGGAAGTAATTTGATTGTTCTCTAAATATCCAAATAATATTTTGTGTCGTGTTACACTTGAAGATACACATTTTAAGTTGCTGTAGCTTATCAATTTGCATTTCAACATATCACGGGTATTCTTTAGTTGTGTTAACCTATGCGATATAAGTTTTATACGAAAATGAAAGGAGGAAGTCGACTATTTATAATAAAATATATTATTTATAGTAATGTATATATACACAGAGGCAAGGCTCTGTCAATGTTTACAAAATTCTGAGTTTAATATATTTCCATGTAGCAAAATATGAAATACAAATTGTAAATTCCAAGGTTTTTGGATTCCTAATTTCATTTCCAAATTTCCAATTCTCATAGTGGTTCAGCTTAATTCTGAATTTCATTTTCATACGTATTACTTCGTAGTAATCAATAACTAGGATGAGAAACTTTAAGAAAATTTAAGATGAATTATTTACTTTAGTGACTTGTTTTTTCAATAAATAAAAACAATTCAAATTGTACTAGTTTTATGAATAATAATCATTTAAAAATATTTTTTAACGGAGTTCATTAGATTTTAAGTCCGCCATTAAATAATATATTTAACATGATTTTATTTAATAATTTTAAAATGAAAATAAATTTTACATTGATACAAGGAACGTTTTTTGAATTATGAGAGTTTATTCAATAATCATAGAGAACAGGGATAAAGCTTGTTCGTCCGATTAAAATTTTAAATTCTTCATAAATGACTTTTAATTAATTGTTAACTTTATATTGCATACGATTGATCGATGGACTGATTTTAATGATAATTTGTTTTTTAATGAAAATGCATTATATTGTATATGATTATTTATGACTACATCTATTGTATTGAACTCCAGTAACATAAGAAATATTATTTTTAATTTTTATGAAAAAGGAAAAACTTATTTTTTCAATAGCTATTTTTAATATTATTTGCATTATTCATATTTAAAGAGAAATATCTAATTTTAAATATATCTACACATTTTCATAGAATAAGAAATAATAATAAATAAAAGGTAGATTGGGTTAATTAATAAATGAACAATTGTTACTTTTTTTATTAATAGGAAATAATGTTTATTATACAGTGTACATATTTATTAACTTCATTTATTTTATTTCTGTTATAAATTTTATATTAATAATTATATTATGCCTTGCCGAGCGACGAATGCCTTGATCAGTGTGCGCTTAGACTATAACAATCTCCGTAAAAAGTATAGAAACTTCAGATTTATCTTTATTAATTTTTTTCATTTTAGATTTTTTAATCCTTCTTAATCGGATCGACCTCGTTGCGAGCCCGTCACCAAAGTATCGCCAAAATATGTCGCGCTGAAAACGGCATATGATCGTTCGGCATACAAATAATAGTACTGTTAAAGTTAAAGTAATTGGCGGTTTATTCATTATCTGTTTTTCTTTTGTATATCCTGTTCTCTCTGTGTCTCTCTTTCATCTCTCTCTCATCTCTCCCATCTGTTTCACATGTACTCTTTCACTCTGTTTCACTCTTCTGTACTTCTCTTTTGTTTTTATCTTTCTCGTAATCTTTCCGATCATTCCATTTTAATTTCTCTTTCTCTTACACGAAATCCGTTTCTCAAAAAATACATTACCCAAGAGTTAGTATTGATGATCATTATTTATATAATATGCTATATAATACAAATAATGTCGTTTATCGTAATATAATTATGATTATTTTTGCTTGCTTGAATTTTTTTTCATTAGTGATAAATTATTCAAACATTTTTACTTTAAAGGATCTTGTTCGCAAATAAGATTAAAATGTATGCATGTGAATTGCTTGCATTAATTGTATAGTTTATATACGAGTTCGAAGTAGCACAAGCTGTATGTGAGGAGGATTTATCTTTTATTCTTATAAATTTTATTCATCAAGAAACCAGAAGAATAGTTGCTGGTTACAAAAAACTTGACCTATTTATCCGGTTTAATGATATAATATGAAGAATTAGTTTATTTCTGTTTTACTTTTTACAAGCGCATGCATTAAAGTTTCGTCCGATCGTTCTCAAGTTGAACAGATACTTTTCTTTTCTAATTATCGCCATTTTGGATGTTTCATTTTAAAGGAACCTACGTTACGATGTATGAAATGAACTACCGTAAAATGATCAAAACATAAAGTTTCAGTTTGTCATCATACTGCCATTCTTTATTTTTTCAAATCTTGAAACTTTTGTTTTTGTCCATTCCATGCATATTTTGAAAATTACAGATTTCATAATTTGTTACGCTTTCTCTCTTTTACACTTACTTTCCTTCATTGTTTCATATGCTTCTTTAATTCATATCTCTTTCTCTCTCTATCTATCTCTCTTTTCTCACTTTTCCCGTCATAGGTCATAGCGACATTTAGTCAATTTGCACCTTTCATCCACAGGACTATTAAATTGCATCGATACAATAATTTAATTTCGTTTAATTCTTGGTTGAATGTATAATAATCTAGTCTGCTAACGTAAGTTATCTCAGAGTAGATTTCCTCGTTTTCATTTATCATTCTTTTTATTTTTCTTATAATGTTTACCTTTGTGTAATATGTAGAATATGAAACGTCATTGCTGCCCCTCGTTTAGCTTAGTCGATAATAACCGTAAATATAAATAGTATTTTTTATTTTTTCTTATTTATTATTAATTCATTATAATCATCATAATAAAAATCATGTTTAATAATTATTAGCAATGATAAGAATAATTGCAATAATAATAATACATAATTATTAATAATAATAATGAAGATGATTATGACGACGACGCCGACAACGACGACGACGACGATGATGAAAATGATGATGGTAATTGTCGTTTCAATAACTTTTATGTGTATATATGGTTGCCATAACTTCTTTTTTGTTTTTATACTATAATAGTATGCTCATCGTTGAAAAAAGGTCTCGTTGATAACATTTTTTCTTTTTAATGTTTCACATTATTTGGAAATTTGATTCTTCTCCCAGTGAATCAAAGTTTTTTTCTTCAGACGTTATTTCTTAATTTGTTTTTATCGTAGAATTGATTATTTATGTAAAACAATCACTCTCACACGAGACCATTTTTCTAACGATTTATATCAGCATCAATTGTCTAAGTATCTTTTTATGAAAAATAATGATAAATATAATGGCATGGTTTACGCTCGCTTTCTAATCTATTCGTTTTTTTTTCATTATTTTCTTTAATAATTTCGCTCTCATTAAGTTTTTTTCACAACTTTTTCTTGGCGACACGGCGAATCGCTCACATAAAATTTATTATTATATTTATTAATGAAACAAGCAAACTGTTTAGAATTTATAAGATCACTGCCATCGTAAGAGGAATTTTATCGATATTAAATAAAGTTCGTCGACTGAAAAATAAATAATAGAAGTTTTTTACATTAAAATCGCATAATCAAATATTTATTAACAAAATAAATCAATTACATAACATATTTTTTATTTCTCACAAGATGCGGAGAAAAAAAGTAGTTTTTATTGAATCGGCAATTTCTTTTATTTGTAGACTCGAAGCACATATTAAGGGCATCGATAAAATCATTGTCAATTTAACAAAAATTTTAGTAAACGTAAAAGTAAATGATTTCGCGTGTTAATCTAACAATAATGATTCAACAATTGTTATGTATATTTCTTTCGTTGGCGTTGACAAATAAGTCACTTTTATCATTAAAAATTAAATTTTGTTCTTTTGAACTAACAAATTTTTTTGAACATACGACTTTTCGATATAATTCAGTAGTCTTTTGATAAAATACAAAATGCCAATTTTAAACATTATAAAAATCAAAAGAAAAGAAATGATGAAACGTAGATAGCTTTATACTGCTTAGAATAAATGAAAGTTCTGAAACAACGCAATCGAAGGCTTTCGACACTCTTGCACTACTTAAATACATTTGCAGTGTAATGTATACTAATAATAATAGTAATAGAAAAAAAACGCCTCGCATGTGACTCGCTTTTCTGTGTGCGCCATTCCTATGTATTATATCGCCACACACTGATATGCTAAGATCTCAACCTCATTTTTCCTCCGTCAACTTTTTCTTTCTAATTTTGCACATCGAAGGATGAACTGTTTCTAACTCAATCGAAGCTAAACTAAATTAGATATTTAGGTTTGGATTAGATTTTTGACTAGAATGTCTTAGGTTTTATAATACATCATAGTACACGCAATTTTTATTGGAACCTGAATAATAATTGTTCAAAATGATATTTTCATTCTTAGTAAAGCCATTATTTAAATATAGAATAAAAATACATTTCATTAATATTCTTATAATTGTTTGCATGGTAACGTTGTTTCTCGTATTGTCAATATGAGTAAAATTATCAAAAAATAAACAGTTAACCTCATCCATCGATGGCTGAAAATGCAACGTTCACTTTCAATGCACGAGATTTTCATTATCACTTGGCGAAACAGTCTACCCTAAAAACGCATTTCAATATTCGCTTCCTAAGTATCTCACGCCTTACTTTTTTAGCCTAATGTTATTCATATAATTTTTTTATTTCTGGTATGCATAATATAATATATATTTTTATATTACCTCATAGTAAGATATAATTTTAAATAATTAATCAATGAATTTCCTTACGCCCATCGCTTACCATCTTTATCGTTATTAAAGATTAATACTGTTGTACTTATAATAAATAAGTGTATATATAATATATAATTTTTTTCTGTTCAAATGAGTTTACTTTTATTAATTTATATTTTGTTTCAATTCACAATCATCGCCTTTGCCCGGTATTTTTCGTATCATTGTTATCTAACGATTTCTTTATACCTGACAATTTTATTTTCTTTTTACTATCTTTGATTTTTTTATACCTCCATAACCATCACTTAAAATCGCTTTATATACGAATTATAATAATCCGAATTTTTATCACGATTATTACTTTTCCTTTTTGCCATTACATATTCATTTTTCTACTATGTTCAGTGAATGCTTCTTTTTGAGTGCACTCGATTTGACAGTTGCCCAAACACAAGCTTAACCATTTGAAAAACGAATACGCAATTATTCTTTTTTATATTCCACTATTTGTTACTGTAGTTATATTCGAAATAAACAATCTATAATCTAAAACTTTACGTGTAAGATTATTTAATGAATGCTTATAAAATTACAAGTAGGGTACTTAAAAAATAAGCTAATCGCATAAAGAA